ATCTTGACAAATCTGTAGCTAATATAGCCTCTCGAATTAGTTTGACAACGGTATCATAATCTGATTTATTTAGATTGCATAAGAAGTTGTTACCCTGGAGAAATGAAAAAGAAGACAAATGTGCAAATTGCCAGTCTTGCTCTATTTACCCAATATTTACATATGGTAGACAAATATTTGGAATTGAATTTAGCGCAGTAATTCTTGGATGATCTTTAACTCTTCATGGTCATAAACACCAAAATACTAATGCATTATACTTTATCAGTAAAATCTTTGTTGAAACTAAATAAAACACGACAAAATTAAGTAAATACAAAGAAATTCAGTGGAGGAAATTTTCTATATCGATGAAGTTATCTACAAAAGCTGCATAATAGTATCAGTATTTACTAAAACGCATAGCAGTCTGTTACAGATTAACCGGGGTGGTGACACAATTATTGCAGTTACTCAGAAGTAGTTTCTAAACATAGAAAAAATTACATGATATTTATCGACATAATAGACGTAAAGGTTTGAAATTTAATGCGATGAAAATTGTTCATAGATGAGAAACAAGGTGGTTGAGTGTCCACTTAACAATTGTAAAGATGGTGAGAAAAAAGCTAATAAAATGCACAATATGGATATATAAGAATGGTAGTATTGAATTAATCACCAGCACAATAGAAGCAAACGAGCAAAAAAAAGTTTAAGACCATGGTAAAATAAAATACTGAACAAACCTAATCTGCAAATGGAGCAGAGTCACTAGCGCCTTCGCCATACACAAGTGTTGAAACACAACACCTTACCATTTAAAGAAGACTCTGGTAGAGCTGTGAGAAATTGAAGTCAGAAGGTGCCTTAAGAAAATCACTGAACATATCTACTAGTATATGCCACAACACTTGCATTTTTACATACGGCGCATTTGAATTCTCCCCCAACAGACTGATCCCACATAAGTTCACCCCGTCACAAGTATTACATTACTGTATAAGGTGGAAGTAATAGTGGGCGGAATAACCTTTTAAATTTTGTGTTATTGGCATTACAACACACGACTTCAATAAGTTCTGTTCGTTCATCATATTTCTCTAAAGGCCGCTTAATTTACGTTCTCCTTCATACCTGTTGAGTGCTAATCTATGGGATTCTTCCCATCATGTGGGGTGAACCTCATAACGGCGGTTTTGCAATCGTATACACTTTACAGCCAAACTTCCTTATTTACTTTAGGCATTGAACTTGCGCATGTCCTGCAATCTTCGAATTTGACTTCAAATAGCCTCAATAGTATTACTACTGATGGACTTTTAGAGAATTTATTGCTCATAAATACTATCAATGTGTTCATAAGGCTTCATAGCTTGCTTTATATCGGCTTTTTTTTATTCCATCGTGTTTTTCAGTGTAATTTATCATACAGGCGCGATAGGCATTGTGTTGTTTATAGTGCATGCATTTGGTGTTGACCAGATGGACAAGGATATAGTAATTAATATCCGTCTTACCAATTAACTATACAACTTTCCAGTACTTTTAATTTCTTCCGAAACAACATTCTTTGATACTGTCATAAAGTGATCTAAAATCGAATGTTTACAAGCAATGAATGACAAGTGTTTATATCACATGGATTATTCTCTTTGTATGACAGGAATTTCAGTATAAACAATTCTTCCAAAATAAATGATAATCTATTGGCTAGTGGAAAGTTTAATACTCTGGCTTAGATTTAATACGCTTAAATAATAAGTACAATTAGGTAAGATATGATTTCAGTGAAAACGTCAGTTAGGCGAATGCGAAAAGTTAAGGATAACAAACCAGGTGTCATAGCGTAGATGCGATTAAGTATGGAAAAAATTTATGATTGGCATAAAAGCAGATTTAATTTTTTAATGATTAGTTTTCCAAAGAAATAAGGTTAATTGAGGTCACTGATATACATATTTAGGCATTTCTGCAACGGTCGAAAGGAAGTTGGCACAAACTTCTGCCATAGTTTCTGACTAGACTCACTCAACTGTGTTATAGTTGTACAAAGAATATATATATATATATATATATATATATGCAGTGGGATTTAAAGTACGCCCAATATACATCGACATTAAAGTGCCTAAAGCGAATTTAGAACTTAGTATCACATGATCTTTAACCACACTGTAATCATTTTTCAGCGTTTATTAAGTTTCCATCACTAACTGAAGAAATTGGCGAACATACCAAGCACTTCACTCATGTAGCATGCGAAAAGTAAATAAATAGAATTCTAAACGATGTATCCACTCTTGTGGAGAATCCATGTAGTGATGCCATAAACACAAGACCAAAAATCAAATGCCTAACTAAAAACACATGTCTGCATGAGACTGTTTGAGGAAGACTAAGAATGGCACAAGGTCAATGAAAGGTTAAACGATGACATAAGTCGTAATAGGACTCCAGCCAGTGGTCTCTGACTTACTCGTCTATCACTTTGACAGCTAAACTACAAGACGCCAGCAATTTACCATAACTAACAGGTCTGAAGTGTATTTAACAGACATTATGCTAACTACTAATAACAGTAAGAGTTATAGAAAACAAACTGGGCATCACATCACATAACTGCTGACCAATATACACTAGTTACCTTTATCGTCAGTATCATCATGAATTGATTGAAATGATGATGCTCAAGTACTGAAGTCGAGTATAATTTGGCCAAAGGAGACATTGTTTTAATCTGGAACTGATTGTCGGTACCACGGTGATCGATATCATGCGACAGACAAGCAGTTAAAAGAGCTAAACATTCAAGGTCTGTGAATACCGATTGAAAATCACCTTTCTAGAAAGGAAGGGAAAAACAATTTAGATTAAGCAAGAGTTTCAAAAGGTAACAAGAACAAAGGTAGCTGAAAAACAGTAGTGTAAACTATGCGACTATAATTAAAAGGATTAATTAATACAATGTAGTAGGTAGCGTTGAACGCAAAATTTCGCCAATCTAAATAGAAAACAATAATAATAATTAGAAAGTAACAAATAAGTCGACAGAAATCCCTCTTTATCAGGTGACATATGAATTTGATTGACATTCCGAATAGAGGTAAGCACACAATGTGCATTTTCAAACCACCCGATATTAGATAAATAATTATCTTCAATCCTGATCAGTAATGTATTTCATTAGGAATTGAAATTTTTAATTAATGATACTGGAGTTGCTTCCGCATACAGGCTACTTTTGCTTAATACGAAAAATCTATGCGAATTAAATCTAAAGTCCGATGAATTTAATTCGTCAATGGTGACTAGCAGCGTAATTCAGGATAAAGCGCATTTTGTCCTATTTGGCATTCGTCAACTGGATGTACCAGCATTCCCCAGTGAGTGAAGATGTTTCCACCGAAACTCGAATCCAGTACCCATAGTTTCAAACACCACAGCGTTATCCACTAGACCACTTGGGCTAAGAAAGCCACCTCTTTTGCAACGGGTCATATTAGTTATTAAGAAGCCGACATGCTGACCTTAGACCGGGCACTTTGGTCCAGTCAATCGACGGGAAAATCTCAAATTTAATTAAAGTCCAGTGAGTTCAGTACTACAGAGAAACAGAAGTCAAACAATATCTACATCTTGAAATAATAGAAAAGATTTGTAACTCAGGTGGATGATTTGGAATTGATAGTGTTCTCTGAGCTCCTTGGTTTAATTGCGGAGCTTTCATCGTCTTTCTGGACGACATCTTCAGCGCAGTATTTAGGATAAAGTGAAATGATTTAGATTTCTTCATGAGTCTCCCGGTAACCATCTTTAGATATTTATTGACCGTTTTCTATTGATTGGGATTTTAAACTTTCTGATCACCTGATTTACTTTTTATTAGTTGGTATATTTCATCTATATTAACGTGTTTATTAATTGCGTTTTCATTTGAGTACCAGGCTTCTAGGAATTCTCTGGCACACTTGGTGTTTCCTCTGTTTAAGATTTTGACATTATGCCAATCAAATTGATGTCCATGATCGTCTGAATGTATTGATACTAAAGAATTTATATCATGTCTTTTCACGGCTAATTTGTGTTCCTGGATTCTTATTCGAAGGGGACGCCCACTTTGGCCGATGTAATGTTTGTTACAGTTCACACAATTTATTTTGTAAATGGTGTTAATTTTATCTCCCTTTTCTATCGGATCTTTTGGTTTGCATAAGATGGAATTAAGCGATTCAGCTGGTTTGTGTGCTACATCTATATCTACATCTACATCTTTACATGGATTGATTTCATATAAAAATATGATCACATTTGTTTGAAACATATTGCACCAGTGCTTCACTTTTTCCAGATGAATTTTATATCCTAAAGATGCTTAAGAGGATATTGACAAACGTCCAGTTGAATAAATTCTTCTGCTTTTGTATTTTAACAGCTTAGTGAGGCTTAAAACACTCGGTAAGCTTACCTATAACAGTCAGCGCATATCTGTCTGTCTGTCTGTTTTCGACATAGAACTTTGCACAAATGTGCGGCAGTTCAAGTCGCCACACTCCGTGTAGCGCGCGAAGCAAGAGAAGAAAGTACAAGAAAAGCATAATCGAAACAGTGAGCAGAGGTGTGAGACAAATGAGTAATAACGAAGAGCAAAACAGTTTCATTGGAGATCATAAGTCACAAGGATTGGATGCATCTGCGCCAGCCATTGAGAACGATTTTGAGCCATGCCACCAATTGTTTCCAACCATAGATTTTTACCGTCCCGAGGACCCCAACCAGCCAGGAAGTCTACACCTTCCTACGTGGCTTAGACCAACTGTTGTGGATTTCATTGACTGGTGCCAAGTTTTTGTTTGACCGCCGCTAGCTTTTTTCCAGCCTGACCCTATCAGCATATCAGGATACTCTATGTATTAAAAATTTATCGAGACGTTAGAGAAACTTTGATTAAGTAATATTGGGTACAGCAAGCAAAATACACAACTCAGATCTCCTTCATAAGTGTTTTTATTTGTGGTACACACGTTCCTAATTTGACCTGCTTGCACATCCATTCATAAAGTTTGGAATATACTATGACTTACTCGCTAAGATGTTTTTGAGTTATTACACCAACGTTTATAGTTAAATGACGCACATTAACAATAGTGTTCAAGAGGTTTCCTTCATATCTTTGATATTTTTATCTAAAATTCCGTCCTCCATCAGTCTTTGAGTTTCATCAATGAATGCTAAAAAGCATGACATTTGGATGCAAAATCTCTACAAATTTAGCAAATTGGGATTCTCGGGAACGCCAAGTATCTTTGTATGTAACTCTAAATGTCGATCCAATATATAAACACTATAAATCATTATTACCGAGTAAGAAAGTGACTTAAAAAGCAGGCAACATCAACAAGTGGGAGAAATACCAAGACGCTGTAGGCGTTAAAAGCCGATAATTTAAAATGATCTATCGTCAAATAAAGATTTGTGTAATACGTAAACATACCGACGAACTGAAAAGCAACAGCTTTTTTTATTATAGCTAGAAACCACACTGTATTTCTGGTACAAGTATGGGATTTTCAGAGTTGGTGGCATAGCGGTTAGGACCCTTGCCGACCATGCACATGGTCCGAGGTTCGATCCCCGACCGACGCATTCATTTACCTCGCTAAGCCAGAAATAATTCTGGCAAAGAGGAAAGGTTGGGCATGAGGCTAGCAATCCCATCCTGTAAAAATTAACACTTCTACAGAAACTTCAAACCCCTAGCTTGAAGCTCTATGTTTCACTGGGGAACATAAAGGAAAGAAAAAAAACAAAAATGGGATTTTCAGCATGTGATATCAATAGCCCAAATTGTGCAGACCAACCACTGATATCTCTAAAGTTCTGTGAAACGATGGTCTTTACGAAAAATTCGAGCACTTATTTTAAAAATATACTGCTTGCTATAATTTATTCAACACTGTTTAAAATTTTTATTGTTGCTTGCTAACGAGTTATTAAATGAGTTTATTTTGTTTATAGATGCTTTAATCTCTAAAGTGGCTATAAAAGAATAATTTTTATACCACAAAATGTCCAGAACAAGACGAAATACTGCCACGATTCAACTCTACCTATGCATGCATCAGGGGAGATATAAAGCAAATACAAGGGGTTAGACATCTAACCTATTCAAATCTTCCAACTCCATCTGCCACTGCTTATCCATAAAGGACAAGGTCATATGCTGCACAGAACACACCTCTGAAAGATAATCGGATATCACGTCTACATCCGGAATGATGTGAGTTGATAAGCGGAAGACAAGCTATTTGTATCAGCGCCGAAATTTCTCAGCCATTAGTTTATCAAGGATGATTCAACTTCCCAAATAAGTGAAGTTGTCACTACGTCCAACTATTTCACTACCTGTCTTTCAGATAAAAGTCTGTGCAGTATAGCCCTGAACTATCTGATATCTGACCGGGGTGAATCGTAAGCCAACCATAATCAGATTTCTGCTTAGCGTGACTGCAGAAAACTACAGTACTTCACAGTCACACTAGATGCCAAGTGAAAATTTATCCCCTATGTTCTCTGTCTGTCTGTCTGTTTTCGACATAGAACTTTGCACAAATGTGCGGAAGTTCAAGTCGCCACATTCCGTGTAGCACGCGAAGCATCTACCGAAAACAAAGGCAAACCTCCGCAGAACGAAGGTGGTTGCCCTGTTAGAGGGTTTAGAAACAACTAATGAAGTTGAATACAGTAAGCCTGCTCGAGAATACATACATTTTTACATTACCCCTACAATTACAACTCGAAGAACAAATATCACTTTGAGTGTCTAAAGAATTCCCAACAAGTGTATGAATTTATGCAGATATTCAAACATTACATTTCAATTCAGACGTGTACAGCTAATAATATAATCTGTTAGTGAGCAATCAATGTTATAACTACTTGAGAACAACTAGACAAGATATTTCACTTAAAACTCAAATATTAGGGATAGGACTGCCTATCCTAATACATCTGAACCAAAAAAACCTCAGTAGGAATAATAATAATAAGGAGAGAATAAATTAATCTTCCACGAAAAAACAGTAATGAAAATAGAAGAAAGGAAAGTCCGACTCACTCAGCTTAAATGTTACTGAAGTCAAGTGAAATTGAATATATCAAAACAGAAAAGGCTGAACAAAAACAACTTAATATGCTTAAGTATGAATAGAAAAAATCTGCAGGTATCAAGAAGATATGTGCGGATACACCTTTTGAAACCCCTATTATTATTATTATTATTATTATATCCTTTCATTCCTAGAGGAACATAGGGCTTCAGCCGCGTGTCTCCATTGCCTTCGGTTTTCTGCCAACTTTTTCACCCCGCTCCAAGTCTGCCACATGCTTCCATCTCCTCTTCACATAACCTCCTCCAAGTCACCTCACCCATGCACTGACGACCAACTCGCCACCCCCTTCCCTTTCGGGTTCCACTCGAGCAATGGCTTGTCTAGTGATGTCACTCACTTGATGCTTTCCTCAGAGTATGGCCACAATGCAATCCATCTTCATTTCTTCCTGCCTATTTGTTTCACAATCGGTTCCTGTTGGGTTGGTTCGCTCATTGCCAGAGATCCCACCCTATTGCTGATCTTTTCTGGCCGGCCATCTGATCTTGAGTATTGAGCGAAGACAACTGTTGATGAAGGTTTGAAGTTTGTTTGAGATGCTGTTTATGACGCGCTGGCCAAGTCTCTGATCCAATCGTATAGTAGCACTGACTGACTCACTTCACATTGGAGTTGAAAATCCGGATGTTACTTTTGATGGTGAGTGCTGTTGACCTCCACACAGACTTGAGAGTAATGAAAGCTTTTCTTGCTTTCCCGATGTTCCTGGCTTTGATATCCTCGTCAGTTCTATTCGCCTGTAGTTGAAACGATGCTTCCCAGGTCGGTGTGTAAAGGAGGATGTTTCTTTCAGTTTCCTCCCATTTATGCTGGTTGTTGTCTGTTGTTGCTTTTCACTTGGATATCTTCCAGTTTGTGGGAAATCAGATATACATCATCGGCGAAGTCCAGATCATCTAAGTTTTTCGTGAGGGTCCATTTTATGCCTGTTTCCTCGCCGCCCGCTGTCTGTCGCATTATCCAATCTGCCGTAATCAGGAAGATCATTGGTGATAGTAGATAGGCTTCCCTCACTCCGTCCTCACTTCGAAGGCTTCCATAAGTTTCCTGTTGTGGATTACTTGGCATACAGCATTGTCGTACACCTGTTGGACGAGATGTATAATTGTCGATGACACCTCGTAGTAGCGAAGCAGTTTCCAAATGGCCTCTCGTTCGACGCTGTCGAAGGCCCCTATTAGTCAGAATAAAAATAACGTCACTTAGAAATCCTTGCATTCGTTTCAACGCAGAACAATTCTGTTCTTCACCGAATATTACTATACTATACGATCGTGTGCTTGACTAACTAATTTTACAGGTTACCAATGTACTGAATTAAGTAATTATGTTGTAGTAAGAACTTAGATGTAATGCAGAATATTTGAACATTGCAAACACAAGCACTTTTGAAACATGAACTGAATACAAACCATGCATATTAGCTTACTGCATAAGTATAACAATCCTGTCTTAAGTACGAAATAAGTATTATTAATTTTTATAAAGATATGCTTATTTGAATGCGTTACAGTTACAACAGACTAGCCAGTGAGTGACAAAGTGCTTAAGGCTTTCAAATACCTACATAATATGTTTCATACTTTGATTGGAGCTGCTGTCGGTAATACTAAAATGAACTTATTTTCAAGAAGAAAAAAAAGACAATCATAATTTAGGAAAAATATACACAGAAAGACAAAATACTGAGAAAATCCAATGACAGTAATTCTGCCCTTTCTCATAATCTATTCAACCGTTAGTCAAAATTTATGGACATTAATCAAAGTAGACGACAATAGAGGAAACTAAGTCTATTGCATATAAGTCTACTTCGGTATATGAACCATATATATATATATCATTCAAGGACAACTTACAATTCTCATTTAGAAGCAGATAACAAAACCTATAAATAATATCGGTATCCCCTACGTTAAAGCCCTTAAAGAATAGATAACATAGGTAAAATTTAACGTTAGATAATCTCTACAGATATAAATGAGTTTATGACGAATTCATGAAATAAATAAAAAATTGTATTGCAGTCAATCGATGTTTCCAGTATGTATATTTAGATACTGGCATTCACGATTCATTCATTGGTCTGTCTAATCTGAATTTTAAAGATATTCCTGTACTTTAATAGGCATGGATGAATTGTTGGCTCATGTAAGGCAGACATCCACAGAACAAACACTAAGACCACTTTATGCTGATGTCAAGAAGCAAACAGGCAACATAAAGGCATCTGAAACTTTCTACTTATGATTACGAGTTAATTAAACCTAAACTGATCTTGTTCCTGCAGTTGCCACATCACAGCTGAGAAACTTATTGTTATTATTTCCTTGAATTACGAGTGGAACATAGGGCTTCAGCAGCGTTTCACCAAATCACTCTGCTAATTTCAGTCGCTTTGAGCTGGCTTCACAATCGTTCATAAGCTTTCATCTTCTCCTAACACGACCTTCCTTCATGTTCCCAGTGGAAGATAGGGCTTCAAGCTAGTGGCTGGCTTGAAGTTTCTGTAGCAGTGTTTATTTTGTTTTACAGGAGGGGGTCGCTAGCCTTATGCCCAACCTTTCCTCTTTACCAGCATTATTTCTGGCTTAGCGAGGTAAAAGAGTGCATCGGCCGGAGATCGAACCTCGGACCATGTGCATGGTCAACGAGCGTCGTAACCGCTGTACTACCGATGCACATGTCACAATCTGACTCACTCTAAATTCGTCGTTTCCCATTCAGGTTCCACCTGATGACCAAGAGCATGATTTCATTCAAAAGCTTTCTCACCTGATGCCCAAAGTCCATCTCCATTTCCTCCGGTGCATTTGTTGTGTAATAGGTTTTTGGTTAATTTGTTGCCACAGTCCATTGTTGATTTACTCCTTCCGGCCAGTTATCTGTTCTTCAGTATCGGGTGAAGCCAGCTGTTTATAAGAGTCTACAGCCTATTGGTAATAATATCTATGACACTGAGACAAATAGGAGTGCTGACTGACTTGAAAATTCAAATTTTTTTCCTTATGGTCAGTGCTGCAGATTTTCACACTTATTTCAGAGTAAGGAAAGCTTGTCTTGCTTTTGCCATCCTGTCTTTGATATCCCTCGCCTGTAGTTGAAAGGATGCTGACTAGGTAAGTGAAAGGTGTGAATTCGTTTAGACTTTTCCCATTGATGGTGACTAATGCCTGTTGTTGTCAGTTAGGTATCTTTACCACCACTGTTACCTCTGTGCGCACTAGGAATCCTGTCTTTGCTGTCAGCCTCTTCACCCAACTCAGTGGCTTTCGCCTCTAGATCTTCGAATGTGTGAAATTATGCATAAATCATCAAAGAAGGTCGGTTCTGCCAATGTCTTTTCTTCTATCTAACCCATTCCCGTTTTCTCGCTTTGCACACTCTATTGCATAATTTAGTCCACCATCACTGACAGTAGGCAGCCTTTCCTTATTCCTTCAAAGGCTTTGCTGAGTTTTTCATTGTGAATCACTTGGTATGTAGTACCATCATATACCACCTGTTGAAGGAGGTTTACAAAGGCTTAGGGAATTTCTTAGTGTTTGTTGAAGCAGCTGAGAAACTTAAATTTTGATAAAAGAACACTACTCGTGCTCAATCTGAAGAAGTCCTCTAATGATAATTATCAACAGATATGTGGTTCACATCCAAGAAATTCAGAAAGGTTAACCAAGTCAACTAACAACGAATATGATACATTTTCAAGTATTGGTTTTGTAGGGATTTTGTTTGATTGTATGGAGGATTTCATTATGAGCTGATATCAGTTAGAGAACGACTGGAAAACCTGGGAGTACTGGATAGCTGTTTCGTCCTAGTTTAGGACTCTTCATCAGTTCGCATCCAAGACCTTTTGGTTACAAGGCGAACTCGTAGACCATGAATATGATAGACTACTGCAATGATTTACCTATTGAATGATAGATATCAGTGCCTACTAACCACCAAATGTTCACTTAAGGGTAATTATCTATCTAATAACTGAATTATTATTATTATACTTGTATCCTATCTGAACACTTTTATGACTCGTAAAAACAGTGAAAACAAAATGGATATTTTCGGAATAAAAAAAACATGTACTTCATTTACTAACCGCCAAAATATATAAATATGGATACTTTAACTTGTTATATATACTATTGCGTCAACAAGGAAATATAGATTCCTGAAGTTCAAAACAATTAAAGGGAGTAGAGAAGGAAAAAAACACACACACACAGTTAAACTAGATAGTAATAAATTGCTAGGCTGTTTTGTATTTTTTTTTCTTTAACACACTAATAATTATTTTCACTTACCAATAACATGCAAAACATTGTCTGAGTCACGTTGAATGCATGACGCCAATTATGATATGTTACTTCACGGTAGTTTTTACGCACAGACAATAGCCAACGAGCAAATGATAACAGATCAAAATGTATTGATTTGATGAAATTCATTTCATGAAACATTCGAATACACGCCTTCAGTGTATCTTCATCTGACAATCTAAAATGTGTACAGTTATAGTAGTTATTATAGAGTACTACTATCATATTCTCTTGTAAAATTGAAATGAAAAATAGTTACTTGTAAAAAATAACAACAATCATGCAGATACACTAATAATCAGTCTGACCCACTAATCATAATAACTCCTATCGCATAAAATATGTATGCCTGAAGAGGTATACAAAAGACACGTAATAATAAGCTTTAATAATTAACACAGTTTGACAAAATCAGTTAAACTAATAGAGAGAGAGAGAGAAAGAGAAAGATTAGATGTCTATCACTTTTTGCTTTGAAAAATGACTGTATCGAGTGTAAGTGTGGAGAAAGAATTTGCCAACTGTTATTTTTGTTTGTATAATTTGCAAATACAATCACACAACCATAGATGTGTCACAGACTATCAGTAAAAGATAAGTGAATTCCAAAGACTCTCTTATAGTAACTAACACATTAACAAAATATTATGCATGCCAGTTGACTGTAAAAATGATAAATCATAGCAGTTACAATGTAGACTAACTGAATCATTGCATTTGCTTTTTTTCCAGTTGAATCGGCATCAGATCCCATTAGGGAATAACTTGCCAGGTGACACCCAAAACAAAATGATGTTAGGCTTGGTAATTAATGACTCGGTAATTTCAAGCTAACACGATGCTCCCTTAATGCTCAGTTACTCCTTCTCTTCCCACCTTACCTTGTCCAGCTTTGAAGTTATATGTCCAGTCGAATAATGCGCATAATACCAGGAGAATGTGAAAACTGCTGTTTGATTTTGAATTCAGTGTGTTCACACGCACATACACACACACACACATGCACATACCGAGGCCTAATATGACTTTTTAAAAAATTTTCGGGGAGGGGGACGATGGAAAGTGACTGTAGGGAGTTCGACTGATTTTAATGTAGTAGAATTCGTCAACAAACAACGTCAGTTAGAACCACTGAAAAACCATGTAGTGCTAAACAGCTGTTTCGTCCTGTGTGGTCCACCTAAAGTCCAATTTTCAAAAATACTCCAACTGATTTCAGTTAGTGAAGAAAAGTACACTGAAATTAACATTTTTTTGTTTTTAAGTATATTAATAATAATAATAGGTAAATCAAAACAATTTGGATTTAATTCAGAACAACAAAATGATGGTTATGATAATAATAATGATGATGGGAAACTGAAAAGGCGAAACAAAAAAAAATTTACAAACATAATTATTCACATGCTTATCATGTTTGATTGATACACTCAATCTACACAAGATATGTTTGTTACAAATTGATAAGATTGGATTGTTTTCAAGTTTACAGCTAACGTCTCGCTATATGCAATAATGGCATTGTATCGAATTCTACTCCAATATAGAAAAAGGTTTATCAATGAGAAACAAGTACCGAGACGACAATGAGAAGAAATCTTTTCTTTTTTAATGAAAACTTTGATATTTAAAATTATATGCCTAACGAAAAAGACACAGAGAGCTTGCAACACTTTGAACAAGACACAATCTTAATAGCACAAACTATATAGATACAAAGTTAGAGTTTGATACATACGTTGACTGTGTGGGAAAGTAACTACTCGAGAACAGATAGAGCGCAGAATTTGCTTACAAAGGGAATGATAGAAATAAAATCAAAAATAAATTAGATTAGATTTAGAAATGTTGAAGGGGAACGAAAGAAATTTCAGTATTTTGTGTAGGTTGTAAGATGAGGACATCCAAACTCAAGCTTACCATCACAGAACCCAATCAGTGATAAATAATCAGTGTTTTATAACCCCCCCCCCACTACAAATGACACAGTACGGTTGGCAGCCTCCTACTTGGTCACGTGTTCATAGCCTCCAACTGATAAGTGCTAATCACTTCCTTCTTGCAGTGTGCAGGGTTCTTACAAGGGTGAAACAGTGAATACGCCTTTCTGTAGCTGGTCACAGGATTGGTGAACATAAAGGATTTATCTATGATAACTGGAAAACCTTGATTCAAAACCGATGGCTCACATACACTTTAGCAACTGGAATGATGAAACAGGATATGAACCAGTGTGAATTAGCAAGTGAGAAGTCATACGAGATATGGAACGGTTATTCAATGGAAAGATTAGCTCAACTGTATCATCCGACAACCTATTGCTATTTCATTTGCTAAATCATGAATGTGATATTCAACCATTCCAGTCACTATGGTTATATCCCTATTTTTTTTTCCTTTGCGTTCCCAGTGGAACGTAGGGCTCCAAGCTAGTGGCTTGAAGTTTCTGTAGCAGTGTTTATTTTGTTTTACAGGATGCGGTCACTAGCCTCATGCCAAACCTTTTCTCTTTACCAGCATTATTTCTGTCTTGAGTGAGTTGGCTGGGGATCGAACCCCGGACCATGTGCATGGTCGGCGAGCGTCCTAACAGCTATGCCACCGACGCAAAACGTGTTATAAATGTCAAGTATTAGGCTACTGTAAAGTTAGCCACAGTATTTAATTGGTGGATGGTGACTAGCAGTGGAATCCAGGATAACGCACATTTCGTCCTATTTGGGACTCGTCAGCTAGTGGATTTACCTGCATTCCCCTGTGAGTGATGATGTTCCAACCGAGGCTCGAACCCAGTGCCCTTAGTTTCAAATGCCAAAGCGTTATCCAATAGACCACTTGGGCCAATTATATCCTTATAATTATCTTCAAATACAAAAGGTCTTCTTTTATTTTGACCACTAGTTACTGGTTATTGTTCAAGACCAAAGTTTGCCTTATACAATGGTTGCTTTGGCTCCATACTGAAAATCAGATGGCCAGAAGGAATTAGCGACAAGAAACTCTGGGAACTAACCAATCAAGAACCTATTGCTCAACAAATATTCCGAAGAAAATGAGGATGGATCAAACATACTCTGAGGAGACTGTTGAGTGACACATCAAGCTCCAGGTGCTCGAGCGAGGAACAACGAGTCGGGCGTACACAGATAATATGAGGGAGTTCATGTGAGGAACCGATGAAAGCTTATGGGTAATCATGTGGCCAGATGAAGATGTGCTGCTGAAGCCCTATATTCCACTCAGAACCCAAGGAAATAATAAAAAGAAGCGTCAATGCACCAGACAAAGCAGCATCGCCCTACCCGACCCCATGAACAGTTTTTTATGTGCTGTTAGGATAGCCTGAGAAGCGATTGACCACGTTGCCATTGTGTTTTTGTCAATTCTGCCTACATGACGATAGATTCTAGCGATCTTGAATGCATACATCAAGTGACTAAGTTCACATAAGGGTCAATGAGGATTAAATAGTCGGAGATAATGAAAAGCCAGCTGTCTTCTGAAGCTTTCCACAAAGCGCAATCTATGCCTAGCCTACACTAAAATGCGCTGTGATGCTACCTGGCACCCACTGGTATCCCTTTTAATTTTACTGTCATTATAAGCGTTAATGCAAACAGGTGAAAGTAAGCAAGTCGACTGAACTTGGAAGTGCAACTAAATACTAATATCTCTGACTTTTCAGCAAAACAGGTTGTCACTAGCAGCACTTATAAGGCACCATAAAGATGGCAAGTAAAATCACTTGCGGCTTAAAAGGACGTCATGTCAATAAATACTGTTTCACTTCAGAATCTCTTGCAAATCATTTAAAAATCATTTCATCCCGGATAACAGTTCATGAAACCAAACAGTACTTACATAACGATGGTGAAGGTGTTATCGAAGTCTACACATTTTACACTGAGTGAAGAATTAATTCACCAGGAGCGAATCGGGGTTCGTGTAAGCTTCGAATGTACTGACTGTATCAAATCACCGCTAAGTACATGTTAGAAAACCATCCCACTTTTTTCTTGATACTAACGCTACCTTTGACTCACTAAATAGGACTGTACTTTAGAAACAACCGTCCGTTAGATAGTGAAGTCCCTAATCTGTTTGTCAACATTATAAAAGCGCTACAAAATTACATTTCATCTACTGCGAGGGCATACAACCACCTGTCATTGCCGCTATTTTCAATCAGCAGTGAAGCTAAACAGATTTGCACTGTTTCCACAATTCTTTTTAAGTATTGGTTTGCAGGGATTTGATTAGATTATTTACAGGATTTCATCATGGGCTGACATCGGTGACAGAACCATTGGAAAACCAGCTGGAGTACTGGACAGCTGTTTCCTACATCCTAGTTTGGCGCTGTTCATCAGTAGACACCGACTAAGTCAGAACCCAGAACCTTCTGGTTATGTGGACCGTTGGATAGGGTCCCAGTGGCTTAATGGTATACGACCTTGCCTTGTAACCGGAAAGTCTTTGGTTCAGACCCAGGCAGATGGCGTATTGATGAACAATCCCAAACAAGGACGAAACAGCTATCCGGCACTCCCAGGTTTTCCAATAGTTCTCTAACTGATGTCACCTCATGATGAAATCCTGTAACTAATCAATTCTTTTAAACTCCATCATCGACGGAATGTTCAAGGATGTAAGTAGTTGTGACTATCTGGTCGGAAGTATGCAAGTGATAGCACACAAACTACCTAAATCCCAACTTATCTTTCTGGAATAAATGTCAGCATGTGTACCGCTTGTATCAAATACAAAATATTGTCGTTTGCCTGTACCTGGAATCACACTAGAGGGTAAATTATTAATAGTAGCCAAGATACTAGTTTATCTCCTTAGGTGCATATGTTGTTGGGATGAAAGATGAAATTGTGAAGCTTGTACCAAAAGCCACTGGGTAATTCGTCACAGTCGCTAAAGGTAGGGCTAACAACTCTTGGGTGAATTTAGTTCGAAAAGATAGATTACTAAACAAGGAACAGGTTCTACACTTACATATCCATTATAATGAAAGAATTACTTGTATTGACACTATGAATATTTTTATAGGTAACATCGAATCATTGACGTCAAAATTCCAAAAGTTATTTGCAAATAGACTGTTAATAAATTGTAGTCCAAAATATGTGTGTGCAGTAATAGAAATAATTGTAATACTAAACTGAACACCAATATTCTGGAGTAAATGATTATGAACCAATACTTAAAAATTAATCTAATGCTCACTAGTGACTGGCCCTATTCAGGCAGTTAACCTGGGGTTCTAGTGGGAAGCCGTGATCAGTGGGGTACAGCAGGTTGAAGATGAGGCAGTAACTCATCGAAGAAGACATTGCGAAATAGTCGCGCTATGCCGTGAACTGGCAGAAGTTAGAATTCATGGGCTAGCCATTGGATCGGGTCCCAGTGGCTTAATGGTCTACGAGCTATCTCGCCTTGTAACCAGAAGGTGCTGGGTTCGAACCCTGGCGGTGGGTGCTTACTGATGAAGAGTCCCAATCTAGGATGAAACAGCTGTCCAGTACTCTCAGGTGATTTTCCAATGGTTCTCTAACTAATGTCAGCTCATGATTAAATCTTTTATGCGATCAAACAAAATTCCCACAATACCAATACTTGAAGATTATGAATAACAACAAGCATATAGTAATAAATCCTTGTGAGTCATGTTCATATTAAATGATGATCAAATCATTACCAACATGTTGAGGAAATTTATTTGAAGAACTTTTAATGTTGGTAAACTACAAGTCATATTTTTCACTCAACCAGTTGTGATTCCTCAGTTGAAGATGAAGTACCTAAAGTAGCTACCTCTTCTTGTATCTATCAATTCAACTGAACTTGTAGAGCGAGTTATACTGGTCGTTGCTCTAAGAACTTGAATTTTTGTGCTCAAGTGTGACTAAATAAAGGTGTAGTGAAAACCCCAAACAATTAGATGTTAGACTACCTGATCCCTACTGGCTACCAAGCCAGTATTGAAGAATCCTTCCCTATCATCTGTCGCGTACCGAATAAACTGCTAAAAGTATCCAGGTACTGAATACTCCAAACAGCAGAGACTATTGCGATTCACCTAAAAAAAATGGTCCTCTGTGTGCAGAAGATACACGTCCAGCCACTATTACTACCCTGGCCTGTTGTGGACTCTGCAAATTCATAAACACCTTATTACATCGACCTTTTTGTATGGCACTCCATCCTGTACATATAAGTTCCCTTACCCCTTATTATCACACTTGTATAAACTAACTGTTTGTTTTCTTACTTAAACGTAGTCATTAACTTAAATGCTGACTTACATGCACATAACCTCCTATCAATGATTCGATGTTACCTATAAAAAATATTCATATTGCCAATACCAATAGTTCTTTCATTATTATGGATATGTAACTGTAGAACCTGATGAAAAAGTTATCTAAAAGAATATTCTTTGTTCAGTAATCAGTCTTTTGAAATTCCCAGTGGGCATCTTTAATCAATTTAGTTTTACTTTACGTTTCACACCTTCGAACTGAGGTAAATTTACCTCGAAACACTGCCTTTGGTGAACTGAATAGTGCGACACCAAAGTTATTTAAGTTATTTTATACTATTTGTTGCTTACCAGCCGGCAGACTGACAGAAAAAAGTGAAGAGGTGATCAGAACATGATACGACAGTATCGACTGCAGTCACGATTCCCCCGGTGACATACAAGTTATTATGCAAACTGTGAAGGGTCATAACATTATCAGAGTCAAACCCCAAGGTGAACATGCTGCAATTCACCTTTTTTCGTGTTATTTCTGAAAATAATAAGCACCAATAATAATCGCTCTTGATAAGTATGATAACCTGTTTCTGTTCTGTTGTTTCTCTATTATTTTTTCATTTTTCCCTATGTTGTAGATTTATTATTCTGTTAGGCGCTTCACTCGGTGTCCATATGGTACTAATTTTATGTTTTAAATTTATGTATCTCGCAGTATGGTACGAAGAGAAATACTGTGTAGGCAATAGGGTCAGGCTGGAAAGGAGCTAGTGGCGGTCAAACAAAAACATGGCACCAGTCAATGAAATCCACAACAGTTGGTCTAAGCCACGTAGGAAGGTGTAGACTTCCTGACTGGTTGGGGTCCTCGGGGTGGTAAAAAAACCAATGGTTGGAAACAATTGGTGACATGGCTCAAAATCGTTCTCAATCACAGCGCAGATGCATCCACTCCTTGTGACTCATGATTTCCAATGAAACTGTTTTGTTCTTCGTTATTACTCTTCCGTTGTCTCACACCTCTGTTTACTGTCTTTATCACGCATTTCTTCTACTTTCTTCTCTTGCTTTGTGTGATACAAGGAGGGAGTGTGGTGAGTCGAACTGCTGCACATCGGTGCAAAGTTCTATCTCGAAAACAGACAGACAGACAGACTGTGCAGGCACGCTTTATTCACCAGCTACTTATGCACATTATCAATGATCATAGTAGTAAAGGCAATAAGGAACATCAAAATTACGCTTAACAAAAGAAGGCTAAGCAGTATAGTTTAAAAATCAACGAATATCATCAAACAGTAACAAACGACAATTTTACAAATAATTATTACTCTAACCTACCGCACATCAGTAAATGAAAATTTATCCAAATGATAAAATCGCATTGTTGGTATCAATGATGTAGCTAGGCGTTTTGCTTCGGATGTTGGCGCTGTAGCATGATACGATAGAACATCCATTATAATTTTTTGTTTTGCCGCACTTCGTATAGCTTTTTCATACAACTGACTATTTGATATACCCAAACCAATAAACAAGGCAAATGCTTCAAATAAAAATTCATCGGAATGAGTGAATATTCCAGACCAATCAATAACAGATGAAAACAATTCACTTTCTTCTTTCGCCTCTTCTTTCTCGTGTGATTTATTCAATGTATGATAAACATTATTCGCCATTGTTGATTTAATATCGAAAGATTGAGGGAATTTTTCAAGTCCACTGTTTATTCTCCAGTCAACAGCTGACTTATTAGTGATAATGCATACAGCTAATACCTTACCATCAGACTGTTTTATTGGCATACAAAGAATAGAACGACTTTTCCATACAGGATCTAAATCCTCTTCAAGCTAAATTGGTTTTTGTGTTTCGTGCATATGAGAGTGTTTGCAAGAATTATTATCGTTGATGTTGTTATCATTATTATAATTAAAGATGTTGTTATTGTTGTTGTTGTAGTTGTAGTAGATTTGAAAACAAAAAACAGATGTGAACAGAAGATTTAAATTACGTAAATGTTAGTTAGACAAGTAGATACAGATGAAATTTACTTTATACCTGACACAAACAAAACATGACGTAAGCAGAAAACGTCTACATTGTTGTCCTCATTTTGTTTTGAACTCAATTTACAAGTACTGTCTACGCTGTTAAACAACACTCGTTCAGAGCGACTTGAAGATTTTTAAAAGCCCCAACAGATAATCAGGTATATTGAGGAATCGCGCATACTTAACCATATTCTTTGGCCTCTATGAATTAGTTTATTAGATATCATGTCTAGCAGTGAAAATGAAAGTCGTGACAGACAGTATGACGACTAGTCCTTCGGCAACTATCGTCGTCATCTTAAAATAATATCTAGACTTCCAAGATGATAAGATAATAAATATCCTGTGAATGTTCCTTCGAATTCTCCCTGTATCTTGACTACAAACGTTAAGTCAATACGCACGAAATCCAGTCGTCTAAAAAAAATAATTGTGGGCTGACAAATATCAGTTTACAAGCTAAACAACTAATAGTTGGTTACTTTGTTTTTCATAATTATCTACTCTTCTAGAACAGTTTTAAAAGTAATGTGACATTGAAATTAGAAACAACAGCAGCAGTGTGGACGAAATAAAAACAAATTAGCTGGTTAGTATCAATTGGTAAACTCAAAAAAGTGTTGGTTTGTGGCGATTTGATTGGTTTCAGGATTTCATCATGAGCTGACATTAGTTAGAGAACCATTGGAAAATCACCTGAGAGTACTGGACAGCTGTTTCATCCTAGATTGGGACTCTTCATCAGTAAGCACCCACCGCCAGGGTTCGAACCCAGCACCTTCTGGTTACAAGGCGAGATAGCTCGTAGACCATTAAGCCACTGGGACCCGATCCAATGGCTAGCCCATGAATTCTAACTTCTGCCAATTCACGACATAGCGCGACCTCTAGCCAATGTCTTCGGCGAGTATTTGTCCTCACACCCAACCGGCTGCATCCTACTGGTCACGACTTCTCACTAGAACCCCAGGTAACTACCTACCTGAATAGGGCAAGTCGCTAGTGAGCATCTCATTAATATTCAAATGTTGGTTTGTAGGCATTTGATTGGTTTCAGGATTTCATTATGAGCTGACATTAGTTAGAGAACCATTGGAAAACTGTTTACAAGGCGAGCTCGTACACCATTAATGGTCCTGAGTTTGAATCCCGGTGGGTGTGCACTGATGAAGAGTCCCAAACTAAGACGAAACAGCAGTTCAGTACTCCCAAGTTTTCCAATGGTTCCCTAACTAATTTTGGCTCATGATGAAATCCTGAAAAAAAATTATACGAACTAGTGACTTTTTTCACTTTTTGCTAATGATCCATTGGTGCCAGTCAAAGGGCTGGGAAGAATGACCACTTTTGAAAAAGGTAAGTTACTACATCACTGGGATTCAATGGTGCATTTCTCTGGCCTTCAGTTGCTTTGTAAGGTCAGCACACGGTCAGCGTACAAGACCAGAAGCAGATACTTTTACTTATTCACGAGTAGAAACTTTCCATACAGATTTTCATTTTCTGTTGAAAAAATTCACTAAGCCTATCTCAAAGCTTATTGGCTATGAGTATCAAATACGGTTAACATCAGCCTAACAAATGTAGTGAGACACTACCCCCGCGTATGAATATTACGATCAACATCTTCATATTGCAGAACATTTAAGAAAAACGAAGGAATGCATTGCCTTTCTCGCCACTATCCCTAATTCCTTAATCACCTGTAAGTGATTTAGGTTAATCAGGTCAGAGTGACAAGAAAAAATATCATTATCATGAGTTTTATGAAGTTTAGATTTTAAGGGAGGGAGGGGGAATACTGTATAATAAAAAGAACACTGGATATTTTTGACGACTTACAGTTTTATCAACTTTATTATAAGCACCATTGTTATTATTACTGCCATTAACATTAACATTCAGAGACTACAAAAAAGAGAGGAAAATATTAACACAGTCTACTAGTTTATTTTGTTAAGGTAATCAAAAGAAAAAATCAATAAATAATAATACACATAATAAGAACCCACAGTAACTACACACACACTATTAATTGACATTACATCTTGGCATTAGTTTTGACGGTTGCAGTGGTATGATGCTCTCGTTTGTAACTGGGTCTCGTAACCGAACTGGTAGAGAGAAGGGGTTCGCAAGACGGAGATCTCTGACTCAACTCATTACCCACTGCACATTTAAACGCCATTGGTGTAAATGACTGTCATTTTTAAACTTTTCTCACAGCTATTTCTTCGAAGCGGAATAATCCCAGGTAGAACACACGACATTTCATTCAATCTGTTTATAGTCTATATGAAGAACTTCTGGTCTGTGCCTTTACCAGAACTAGCTGTAATATGAAAATACATTACTAAAATATATGAATAGAGGCAACCTGAGATGTTGTACGAATCCCCGAAATTATACTCTTCTTATGCGTAGATTTTATCAGGGTGTAAAATAGAAGAAATCCCACGACACACTGACGTAACACTGATGAAATAATCCGAATCACAGTAAAACTCTGCTCTTTTTTTAGTGTCACCATGTCTGGTTGATTTCCAGTTACTTAACAGATGATGTATTAAATCTGTGAATATACTCCAATTCTTTAGCAACGTGAAAATCAAGACTGAGATTCATGAAGTATAGAAGTCATGTGAACAACATACAATTTGCATCTCGCTAACCAATATACCTAGTTACCAAAAAAAATGTTGAACAAAAAAAGATAGACATTCAATTTTTTTAGCTGCATTTTCACTGGCTTAAAAGTGAATGTCAATAAACTGTAACACTGATTAACATGCAACCAATCCATTTTACCCCCTTGCTGTTTTAGTTGGATAGTAATACGTATAAGAAAAGTCGATTTAGTCGAAAATATTCGGACATTTTTTGGGTTTGTGAGTTAATGAAGTAGTCAGAGAATGAGAGCTACTAGCTTTGCCAAAAATTTAAATAATCATCGTACATCCATCCCAATAGCATCAATTCAAAAATCTAGTATAAGGTAATTCCAAAAGTCATGATTTTTTTTCTTGCTTATGTCACAACAGTAAGTCCTTGGATTTTGGACTTATCACATGACTAATTTCACACTACAAATAAGAACAGAACAAATAGAAAACATTGAAGTCACTACATTCAACTCTGAAGTTGGTCAATAGAAAGGAAAAGATCAAATCAACTGAAATATACACATAATTAAATTGCTTTGTCTTGAGTACTAAAAAGCATCAACAGGAAACATCTAGTGGCTGTAGGCAAACACGACCATCTCGAGGATAAACAGTTCAGTAGACGCTGATTCACACAACACCTATTAATTAACATTTTCCCAGTAATTAATGCCTAAAATTCAGCCAAGCTGAAATATAAGAACAAAGAGTTCAGTGAAGAGTCTCTTTCCGGCGGCGAATTCATTCACTTAGCTGAACAATTGTATGTGTGTGTGTGTACATTAGGATTGTCAAACAAAAATAAAAATTAGTTAGAGTTAATGTTTACGCCATCAAAATGTTTCAAGTGTAATGAATAATCAAAGTGTAAGAAGGAAGGAAGGGAGGGGGTGGGAACATAGTTAGCATTGACAAGGGTCGCGTAGTATATGAGAGCCACCTAGAAAAATAGGATGTTAATGAAGGTGCATATAGAGAATAGTGTCCAAGCTGAAACAATTGGTAGCATCTTCCAAATTAGAGTGTTTATCGGGCAGCCTTCATCCCCCACCACCCTCTTTCTCCTGCTGTGAACATGATCATAATCATCATCAGCGGCAGCAGTATTTAACTCCAGCAGGTTAGCGCATTTAACAACAACAAATAGAAATAACATGTACAGATAGGCAATGTATTAAGAGAACGCAACAATTATTATCAGTAGGTGAATAAAGATGATAGAATATTTATAATATCACCAAACCAAACACATGCAAGATACAAATATTATGTAGTGTTTCTTGCTTTAAAAAGCACGATAAGAGAAATAAGATAAGGCGGGGGAATGCAAACATACAACTTTATCTATTAATTTATTCAAGCATTAAAAGTTATTTTATGCTAGATTCATAATTCAAAAACAAACAAAAAAATGCACAGAGGGAAAGTGGAAACAAGAGTTTATTTGTGTAAAGTTGAACAAAACACGAATACAAAACCTTGACATAATGTATTTATTCTAATTAATCAATAATTACAATATATAGATAACTTCTTACTGTTTCCCGTTACCTAGTCCTCATTAATCCTGAGATTTTATAGCATACGTGAGAAGATAACAGTTCGACACTGGAATGCGATGACTGTTTTATTATACCTAGCTAGACCTTAATGCTAAGATAGGGAAAAAATGTTATTTCACTGAGAAAGTAAATATTCAGCTAGTGCCGGCTTTGTTAGACTCATATAAGTATGACGAAAGACTACCATAGGACCAAAAATAATTATTCTGTAAATCCGACGAGATTGTTACTTCTGCGGCCATAGTGTTCAACAGGGACCACAGTAAATCCTGAATTAACGAAGCTTAATGACCGAAAAATCCCTGTCATAATTCAAATCAAAACAAACAACAATTCCGTCTTTTTGCCTTTTGGGTTACATCTGCGTGTCTGTTCGATTGTGTGAGTGTGTGACTGTGGTTTTGTGGACTCACTCAATCAGTTTCTGATGTATTTAACTATTTTGATGTATTTTCTGCCTACTTGACTACAACATATATAATGCTTCCACTTTTTATCTTTAATATTGCGTTTGAATTAATCTACGAAAGCACAAGCAAAAGAGAATATTTCAATAAACATTTAAACTAAAGATGAAGTTATCAGATGAATCAGATTTTGTAAAAATATAAATATATCACACTGTTAATGTGATTATTTATTAATCTGGCTTACTTGACCAGTTTGTAACACATGAACAGCCAAGTCCAATTGAACTGGGAATCGCGTTTCATTGATGCTACGAAGGAAAAGTGGATAACTTGTGAATTAGACATACAGTTAGATGAATCTACTGCATATTATTAACAAATATAAATGAATACTAATATAGAATTACAAACATGAATACCATTATCATGAATAGCAGAGACAACTATTGATTTTCTTAACTTTATATTTCTTAAACGGTTATCTAACTCTTCATCCTGTTGTATTTTACATGACGCTTATCATGAATCCAAGTCAATGTTCATAGTAAGCTTTCAAGAATGCGCTTCACCAAGGTTTAATAACAACTGATGCTTAAAAAACGGTTAATTGAAATAAAGAAACAGTGGCGAAGTTCATCAAAAGTGTCCCAGGAGTGCGAACGCTTCAACGACCTTGAACGCATGCTAGTCGTTGGCCAACGGCACCTATCATTATCATAGCTGAAATATCAACTCTATTCATCAAATAAGGAGCAAGTTTCACCCAGATAACGCTTTTAATTACTGTCTGGACAATGTGTTAATATCTCGTTAGGGTTAGGATAAGGGTTAAGTTAAGTATTTGGGGTTAGGGTTAGGGTTACGTTCATAATTGGGATTAGGGTTAGGTTTACAACAGGATAAAGACTGTCATTAGGGTTAGGATTAAGATTAGGGTTTGTGTTAAGTTTAGGGTTAGGGTCAGGATTAAGCTTAGGGTTGAGATTAGAAATAGATTTATAGTTAATGTCGTTTATTTCAATTTGTTTTACCCTCATTTCCCTTGTATGTAGTCGTCTATCTTCTTACTGAAACCATAGTAATTTAACCGAGGGCTTTGGAGTGGACTGCACAGCAAGAGAAGAGAGATGAACTATTCACAAAACAACACATCTTCAGTCACTTCGGTGAATACATGTAGAGAAACTAGTCCAACTTAGCAGCTGACACTCTTCATCATAACTGGGACGTATTTTTAAGTCATGTCAGAGAAAGATAATCTGTTTAATATGTTTTCATGCATTTTCTTGTGAATATACGTGAATATACGCAGCTCCCCGAAGACATACACAACTCTATCACGGATAACACAATCGTTCTGAAGGCCGGGTACAGTGGCAAGACGCTACTGAAAATAACTTACAATAAAAGAACTGTCCTCTATTGACTTCATTGATTTATCATCAAGTATCTGAGAATGATAAAAGCCTTCTTCAAAATAATTGAAATTTATATTTTATTCTTAAGTAGTAGAATTCGCCTATGATGACAAGAGATCCATAATGCACATTATTACCTTTCTTTTACTTTATTCTATTTAGTTGAGGAATGATAAGTAACCTTGGTTACGAGTTTAATGGAAGAAGTGCCACCAGCTTCGCTAATAGCACTGATACAACAACACTAATGAAGAATTCTGAGATAAAATGTGAAAACATTCCAGCATAAAATATTCTTATATATTTGGGAGTGTGGGAGTGTGGGGGGGTGAGTTAAAATCCTATCTGATAAGCCAGAATAATGATTTAATCACTGAATTAGATTAAGCATACACACACACAATACACGTCTGTTGATCAGATTGAAGATTATTTTATTTGTTTATTTATTGTTGTTGTTGTTGTTATTGTTCATGAGGTGCCCCCTCCCCCCGATCCCAGTGTTCACATACTTAACTACTCATGAGTTGAAATGTAGTGTTTATTGTAAATACACTCCACAATATAAAAGATTAATAATAATAACAATAAACAGAGGAATGCACTGATGCCTATGTAACAGATAAACACTTGTGATTTGTCATTTATTCATATATATATATATATATATATATATATATATATATATATATATATATATAAACGAACTTCAGTGACCATGATTTATGTTTTTGTATATATTTCCCTAGCCTACTCTATTTGTAGCATTTTAACTGAAATTTATTGCCACCACACAGAAAATCTAATTAACATTTTTCCACCGCAAAGTTATTATTATTATTATTTGGAATTACTTGAGCGAACAAACATGATCTAACCACTGCTTGCGTGCAAACACTGGTAGGCATAAAAAAAAGTGTAGAATGAAATAATCTTGATACAGATATCTATATATATATATATATATATATATATATATATAAGCAAACAAATATTCAGTTCAATGGACACGTATGAAGTATTTACAGACTAAAACAAAAGCTCATTCTCCTCATAGTTTAATATCACACCCAAGAAGTTGGCATGCCCATTTATACATATCACTAACTGATTTTAACAATTTGTTTATTTTGGTATATTCCACATTATTATCTAACATTTGAATGAATTAAAAGTAACAAAGTGGATATATATATATATATTTTTTCTTTTCAAGAGTTATTTTGTAGACATTTGATTTGTTTCCAATTCAATCATAGATTAATATCAGTGTTATAGAACCACTGAAAGCCAGAAACTACTAGAAATCTGTTTTATCCTAGTTAAAGACTCCTCAGAAGTACGTACGCACCCATTCCTTCACTGGGGGATCAGACCCAGAAGCTTGAGAGTCCAAGGCGAACTCCTCAAGCATTGATATCCATGAGCCATTGGATACCGTCTCAGTGGTTGAATGATCAACCTGAAGGTGTTGATTCAATCCTCGGTGGGTGAGTAGTGTTAAAGAGTCTCACAATAGGACAAAACAGATGTCCAAGACTTCCTGGTTTTTAATGCTTCTTTGACTGATATCAATCCAAGGTCAAACTTGAAATCAATCAAATCCCTACAACCTAACGCTCATTTCGAACAGTTTACACTGAATGTTTTAAAAAAGAAATTATTCCGAAACCGGCTAATAGTATCTCCTATGTTACTGCATTAAGTAAATACATAAGATTAAGACTGCATTAGCATTTCTAGACAATTATCCAAATGTATTCCGGTGCCATGTACCCCCAGCTTTCAAATGAGAGGTTAACATGATGCACAAAACAAGAACAGCACATCAACTAAATGTCATGCAAGGTGATCTGAACAACAATCAATCCGGCTGCCCTTCCTTATCATTCAGTTTAATTTTGATTGAAATCAACTAAATTCCGTTGACGTATACCGCTAGGTTACAGGATTTCATCATGACCTGAGATTAGTTAGAGAACCATTGGAAAACCTGGGAGTACTGGACAGCTGTTTCGTTTGGGACTCTTCAGCTCGCCTCGTAACCAGAAGGTACTGGGTTCGAATCCCAGTGGGTGTGCACTACTGAAGAGTTCCAAACTAGGACGAAACAGCTGTTCAGAACTCCCAGGTTTTCAAATGGTTTTCTAACTAATGTCAGCTCATGATGAAATCCTGTAACCAATCAAATCCCTACAAACCAACATTTGAATATATCGCTAGCTTGTAAAAAAGAAACCTTTAATTTACTGTTGATTGTATGCACACTATAACACTAACCTCTCAGTTCTCCATCAGTAACCAGACTATGAAAATATTGGAATCAGTTTCCCGTAGATGGATTTTTTTGAGCAAAAATGAAAAAAACTACCATAACTATCTTAACAGAGATGTAATGCACAGTCATCATTTTAATTTAACCCCGCAAAAGTGTCAATTCAATCAGATAGTATATATTTTGTATTTTAAAAAAAAAAAGTCAAATAACATCAACAGCCATAAGAGTAAACGTTTCTTGAATATAACATTTTCTAATTATGACTATATGCACATAGTTTTATATTCCCTAGTGTATAAACATGAGATGCAGTGATAGGTCATTAGGGAAAGTTGATATTAACCCATCACAATACATCGATGACACAGTGAGATAAATAATGAGACTTTTTTTTCTGATAACATATACTGCTTCCAAGTTATCCTCTACAAACAAGAGATGAGTTTAGAAGACAGATACACTTACGAATCCCTGCCTCTGAAATCAAATGTGCTTATGTGCCAAACAGTTTATAATAATAAGACAAGAGGTAAAACTAGCAACAATAAAAATGGTCAAACAGTATAGTTGAACGTGATAAGTGTGATTTGAAATACTGAGCACTACACACACACACACACCTCAGTACACATAAACGTGTAGATGATATACTTAGCAGATAAGGTGTCTCTTGACCGCATATCTGTAAATATATATCCATAAGTTGGCTATCTTCCTCTCGCCCTCATTAGCTCACATGCATACAACTACTTTTAGGCATACGCCTAAAGAGGATTTGGATAAAATGGCATGCGAACTCGACACATTTAGCATAAACAGCAATTTACTAACTTATAAATGTTTTAAGAGCATTCGAAAACAGATTTCTGTAACAGATAACTCCTTTATTTATGGTGCACACTAATGATACTCCCAATTATATATATATATATATATATATATATATATATATATATATATATCAAAGTTTCTGTTATGACTTTTAAAGAAAAACAGAACAGTGAAAATGCATAAAGTCCATCGCAAAACTAGTAATTATGATAAAGGAATGAAGATAAGCAAAGCTTTTTAAGCCACTCGTAAGAAAGGTTACTCACATACAAAATGGTTAATAAACTTAAGTGAATAAATTCAAAATGAGTGCATAATTGAATAAACTGAGCAAAGATGATTTTTGTTTCTTCATTAAGTGATTCATTTCAAGACAATGTTCCCTATCTACCAAAAGTCAAATGATAAACTATGGAAATCGATGAACACGACAATTGTTTCAGATATTGCATTGGAATTCTGTATTTCTTAAGGTTTTCATCGAAGCAGAAAACCAGAAATTCTTATTTATTTTTTATTTTGATTACAGCTTGGTGCCACACCATATTTTCGGTACAAGTATGGAATTTTCAGCGTGTGATATCGGTAGCCCAAATTTTGCAAGCTGACCATAGACAGCGGGTGTGCATCGGCAGGTGATCGAACCCCGGACCATGTGCATGGTCGGCGAGAGTCCTAACTACTGTGCACCGACGCACATGGTCATGTAGAGTAAATAATAAGGGTAATATACTCAACCACAAAACTGAATTGCAACTACATTGTATAAAATCTTGATTGT